GATTTTAGTCTTCCCATCAACAAAGCCAGTTACCCGTGAAATTTTAATGAAACATTCAGGATATATTTTATTTACGTCTCTATAGGAAAGAAACGTTTAACTTTTTAGCAAAAATCAGTGTCACTAGATACTGACAAGAGTTTTGAAAGAGACAGGGAAAGGGATCAACCTGAATATGAAAGTGATGTACACTGGCAAGAATGAAACAAAACAAATATTCTGTTACTTAGTATAAAAAGCTATCATACTCCTTTATACAATATCTTTATTATTAAATCAAATCAGCAGCTTCACCTTTTTGAAAGCTTTCACAAGTTTCTTCTTGTCATAATCATCTGCAATTCCCTGAACAGTTGTTAGTGTCTTTCTTCCGTTTCGTTGCTGGATCCTTATATGAATGTAATCCTCAGTCCCCGCTGGGAGTAAGTCGTCACCCTTTGTTGCATCAGCAAAGGGGTCTGCAGGAGGAAAAAGATTCATGTAATTCCCATAGAAGAAAACACTCAAGCTCAAAAACTAACAGGTAAGTTTCTCACTTCACAGAGAGCTTTATTTAGAGAATCATCTTGCTGTTTCCTCCCTGTTTAAAAATACACTGTTAAAATCAGCATACTTTTTTCTACAACTCTGTTAAGTCTCGCTAGCCTACTAACTCAGCATAGCGCTCTCAACTATCACGCACCCTGTTACTTCAACGCCTACCCAGATATAAACAATTTTCAGCCACAGTACCAATTTACTTCACTATTTCTTACAAACTGTAAATCCTGAAAACAGGGTTCCGAGAGAACATCAAGTGCACATAAGTTTTAGACAGCCACCAGCATTTTAAGTGAAATACAGAAGTCATATCTTTTATCAGATCAACTAATAAGTACAGAAAAAACAAAAAGCTCTTGTACACACATTCCTTTCCAGGTCCAGAACAGACGTCTTATACCGTGACAACTACCACACTACCAACATTTTAAGGCATGGATATAATTCTTGGCTACTAACGTATACAAAACACGGCAAGAGACACTAAAAGATGTCAGAGGCTGTCTGTAAACCTGGACCCCTCTGCCAGTCAGTAAGTTTAGGCAAGAATTGTAACAAAACGCATTTAGGCTTTGACTATAGAAAGGTCAGTTCTCAAATTCTTCCAAGCTTAAATTCATTTAGCACAGGTGAAACAGGAAGGCATTTAGGAAAAAGAAGGATTTCCGGGTTATACTCCTTATTCTCGGTTCTCCACAAAAACATATTTAACACTCACTCTATCAAGAAATTTGATAACCCTACAAGTTTCCTAATCAGTAGCTCCAAATAAGTCTTGAAGCATGAAGTAATTTAAGTATTACTTTTCTTAAAAACAGATCACAAGTAATTTCTGGATACTAATCAGAATCATATTCAAGAGTCTGGTCTTCAGAAAGTACAGGTTTAACAGCCATGCAAGCTACAATTTCCCAAACTTCCATCCAAAACTCAAACCTAAAAACAGTGATCAAGTTTTGCCATCCACTTGAAACAAATGCCCCAAAAGAGTAAAACTTCAGCAGAAATAGGAACAGAAGCACTTCAGCTGCAGACAGACTGACCCTTGGAGAAACAAGAATGACAAGAGCATTAAGGCACTGAAAGCAGCATGAGGATGCAAGCACCACAGGAAAGAAGTACAGCACTGGGAAGCTTGACTGGCTTAATTTCTACTAAGGCATTTGTTAAAACATGCTGAATTTCACCGTGCCCCACAGCTTGTGGGGCAAACACTAAAAGAAAATTTCAGTGAAAGAAAAGGTGAAAGACAAAGGGGGCTCGCGCATGAAGATCACTTGGCCAAGTTTAAGATTCTAGGTTGGAGATAAACCAGCGCTGTAGGTGTTAACATTGGATTACTTCAAACAAATCCTTTAGGCAGCACCTTCCTAAGCACAGGATCAGCTCCCAAATCGTGATTAACATAACCTTCTCATATGGCTTATATCTACTGAAAATTAGAGACAAAACTAAAACCAAAACCCTAACAACTTTATCATATAAAGTGTTAACTTGCTCACTTCTGTTGCCTAGAGATACGGAAGGTGGAGAACCATGGCCCAGCATGGTAAACTGGGCATGTATCAGGTTTTGGGACACTGGTAAGCATAAGGTGAGGCAGCAAATCAACAAATAATTGGAACTGAGGAGATTATTCCCTTCCTTAGCAAAAGATACGAACCCTAGACTCCCTGTGCCCACAAAGATTACAACTTTGGGACTACAGAGCTGACAAAAAAGCCCAGTTTGGGGTGCTAGGACATTCAGGCAAACAGCGCAGTGTGGGATGTCAGACCACTGTACATGGCAGCATCTCCTACGGGAGTGGAAAGGGAGCAAACGGAGAGGGAGATGAGCCTCCTACCCGATGTCTCTCCGCTGCACACACGGCGCCACGGGAGGACAAGGACAAACAGTCAGAGCTGCCTTTACAGAGAGAGGAACGCGGGCAGCGCCGGGGATGGCAACACCCGCTCAGCAACGGCTTCAATGTCACCGCGGGGGTGGGGGGGCACCGACGCACCGGGCGACCTCGGGAAAGCGGGGGCAGGAGGATG